CTGTGACAGCTAAGAAATAATCAGACTTCCTTTCTCTACCTGCCACAAGGCATTTGTGTGTTTCTGAATGGGGTACTTATCCCAGCTGCCTATCTTATTTCCATGTCCCCTCTCCTCCAGTGCATAGCCATTAAATAACTAATTATAGAATCTACTTAGAGAACCTAGAGAGCACAAATGCACTTTAAAACATTCCTGATGTGGACTTGGGAGATGCCTGTTAGCATCACCATTGATGGGAGTTAAATTGGAGTGTTTCATTAATTAGCACTGAATTGCCAACCTGGCAAGGATCCTAATTAGCTTTTGCCACAAAGCAGCCATAATCAGTAGGCCTACCCCTCAGCCAGCTGCTTTTAAGGCTTTTTTCCTTGAGACCTACAGTAATGTGGAATGCTGTGCCAATCCAGTGTCTACACATATGTGTCTGTGCAGAGATATACAGCCCATCTTTGAACTGCCTACGACCTTGCCTACGACCTTGCCTATGACCTACGTGAGATGCACGTATTCCATTTTACACCCACAGAATTCAACAGCATAGGTTCTGGGAAGTGCTGGTTTGGTGGCACAGAGATGCCACTCTTACCACCATTGAGTCTCCTCCTACACATCACACACACACACACACACACACACACACACACACACAGAGAGAGAGAGAGAGAGAGAGCGAGAGAGCTTTTTTCTTTTAAAGATTGTAATGACAGCATCTCTCCCTTACCCCACCCCCAATATCTCCCATATAGTCTTTTCTGCTCTCCTTCAAATATATGACCTGTCTTCACTAATTCTTATTGCATTCATATGTGTATTTGTATTTACATATATATTCCTAAATATAAACTGATGAGTCCCTATAATGTTACTTGTGTGTCTGTTTAGGGCTGACCATTTGGCATTAGATAACCAGTTGGTATGCTCTTCCCTGGAGGGCTACCTCTCCTGCTCCAAGCTTTGCTCAGTTGCTATAGTTCTTTGTGTAAGGTTGAGGCCTCGTGGGCTTTTCCCTGCACACTAAGCATTCTTTTGTGGGCTAGGAAGTCATGCCTGCTTAAAACAAATGGGAGGAATTTGAAGGGGGAGGGGGAGAAACAAAGGCATCAAAAATCACTTATATACCAAGGAGAGGAAGTAAACAAAATATTGCAGGTTAAAATGAGGTCGTCTTCCTGGTGGATTCTGCCTTAGCTCCATGATAATCATATCACAATTAAAAGAATTTCCATTCAGAATGTCTAATGCATTCCACAGAGCCACTATAACCAGATAGTGACTGCTTCCTGATGTTTTCTCCAGTCTCTAGAAGGATCCCATTCTTTTTTCCAAATTTTAGGGGGTTTTGTTGTTGTTTGTTTTGTTTTGGATTAGGGTCTCACTATGTAATCTGGGCTGGAATTTGTTATATAGACCACGCTCACCTTCGACTCACAGACTTCCTCTTTCCTTCAGAATGCTAGAATTAAAGGTCTGCTACCATGCCCTACAACTGGTGATAATTCAGTTTTGGTGGCTGATCACCGAATATTTAGTCAATGGGCAAAATGGGAGTGTTTCCAAAGTACTTAGGGATTAGCAGAAACATTGATGTGGAAGTCTTCATTTCTGGGTTTCTTTTGGAAACAGGATGGCCGATCAACCTAGTAGAGTTCTTAGATGTCACATGTGACAGCTGAAATATAAATTTCTAAGTATTTTTTTCTAAAGCTGACAGTTCAGTTCTGTAGCCAAACTGAATGTACTCCAGTAACTGCATAAAGCTAGTGGTCACCATGCTAGAGTGAGGACATATGACATTTTCATCATCAGCTGTCCAGGAGTCTTGCTAAGTCATCTCATCTCTAAGGCTAGTAGATGGGACACAGGCAAATTAAATTTTTGACAGTTTTCTCAGCTGATGTTTGTGAGGTAATTTGCTGTTTTTATAGCAACACACACACACACACACACACACACACACACACACACACGGATTTGGGAGAGAGACTGAGATTGGTTGATTGATTCTTCTAGCATTCCTGGTTACCCACAAAACCCAATGAAAAAGCCAGCCTCCCTGATCCCTACCTTCTTCAGCTTCTGTTGTTGGTGTCGTCATGATCACTTGACCCAATGACTCTGCTGACTTGCTGAGCAAGCAGAGTAGGTAATTATGGGAAAACCTCTTCGGTTTTGTGTATTCTGTAAATACCTCTTATAAATGAAAGACCTGGGCTTGGCATGGCCTGGGCATAGAACTAGGAAGGTAGCTTCTAAACATTGCTGACTCTGAGACTTGATAGCTGCTCTCGGCGTAAATGAAGCTAGTCAGTTTTGATTGGCTTCCTTGGGGGAAATTTGGTGGGCTGTCCTATTTTAAAAGTCAACCCCCATGGTATCTTAGACATACACAGCCTTTAACATTTACAAAGTATGTCTTATGGGTCATTTAACTTGATATTTGTAATAAGCATGTTAGGTGAGACGAAAAACCTTTGCAGAAAAGGAACCAAGGCTCAGAGAGGTAGAGTGTCTTGGTCATGGTCACACAGCTGCAGCTGGCAGAGTTAAGCTTCAAGTCTCAGTCTAGAACAGTGGTTCCCAGTCTGCCTAACGCTGTGACCCCTAAATACAATTCCTCATGTTATAGTGCTCTGAACCATAAAAGTATTTTTACTGCTACATCATAGCTGTAATTTTGTTACTGTTATGAATAGAATAGTAATGTAAATATCTGTTGACTCTCAAAGGGTTGAGACCCACAGGTTCAGAACTGCTGTTTAGAGCCTTTGAGAGGCTGTGGCTTTACTTCTGTTGAATCTGAACACATGAATGGAGGGTGGAGGGGTGTTTAGTTAGGCAACTGATGACACAGTCTGAAAGTGGGCACAGCGAGTGTCTTTAATGCTGGACTTGGAGAAGGGGTCACTGTATTGGGTGGCATGGGCCCTGCCCTTAGGGGCTTTTTAAAAAAGCAAATGAATAAATATATTCACTGAATGTATTAGTGCTCATGAATGCTGAGTAACTGGCCAAGCTCTTTCTAGAACTCTCCCGGAGGCAACTTTGAATCACATCCTGATCTGTGAAAAGACTAAGGGAACGGCCCTCAGACCAGGTGCAGAGGTTTGATGGCAAAGCAGACACTTGTAGACAGGTGTCAGTTTGCAGAATGCTAGAAAACAAGAAAGGGGCACTTGTTTATTGAAAACCTACTCCACACAAGACATCTGGGGATCTGGGTTTGTAGCAATGTGTTAAGAGACTTGGGTCTCACTTTCATTTTGTGTGTGGTCTTTGAAGGGAGACACTATCAATTGTTGATAATGAGATGGTTACAGAGTAGTTCAGATTGTGGTTGTTACTTCAAAAGTAAAGGGCAGCCTTTGATGAGAGGTGTAACGTGATCACGTGGGCTAGAATACTGTTTGAACTTGGATGGAAGCTGTGAGAATTACTCCGCTGCATAGGGACCATGGAATGAACAGGGTTGGAGGTGGTTCTGGACAGTAGCCCTGGGATGTTGGAGAACTGGAAAGAGGCCTGTGAGCTACAGAGGGTGGAGGGGTGAGTAGGGTGAGGTGAAACCGAGGCAGGGAACACAGGCCAATCAGAGCTTATTCACCAGGCTTCTGTTTTAAGCGCTGGCATCGGCTTTCAAAGTATTTAAGGCAGAGATTACATGATTGAAGGCATTCTTTAAAAAAAAAAAAAGTTTCTTTGGCAGCAGTGTGGAGAATGTTTTAAAGTGGGAAACAGGTTTTTCAGAAATTCCTGAGGGACTCCTATGTGATCCTGGCTAGAGGTGATGGTGCAGGGTTGTGGGAGCTGGGTGAAAGGGAATGGCAAATTCCTAGAGGGCTGTAGGAGATGGTAAAGCAGATGCAGATGGTAAGGATGGCTTCTGAGTGCCTGGTGCTCTAGTGGGATGCATGATGGAGTTGGCCCCAAGATCTGGGAGAAGGGACCCAGTTTGAGAAAGGTCAGCCTTTGACATCAGAGAGGTAGCTGGGTAGAGGGATTGGAAACTCAAGTTGAAAACTGCGCAGGGCTTGGCTGGCGAAGTTGTTGGTGCAAAGAATCTCTGTGCATGTTTACATCCTACCCTCACACAGGAGAAATGAGAACAAGCCAGCCCAGGAGCCAATAGAGAGGTGGAGGAAAACCCAAAGTACTTGTATGTTATGCCATTGAGGCAGAGTAAAAGTTATTTCAAAAGAGTGGTCATATCTTTCATATTTCCAAATCATTTTCCTCATAATGCCCAAATCTGTTAAGTGATGGCCACCATGCATCTCTGGTCCAAGGCACAAATACAAGGGAAAGTTGGCTCTCTGCATCCTTGCCAATTCTATATGTGTGTGTGTTCAGACACCTGAGGGTCAGAAATACAGCATGGGGGAATTGCATCTGAACTAAACATGCACAGTTTACTTCGTCTTATTATTCTCCAAGCAATCTAGTATTTGAATTATTTATGTAGCCCTTACATTGTTTTAGGTATTCTAAACAATCTAGAGATGACTTAAAGTTTTCAGGAAGTGTGCATAGATTGTAAGCAAATACTGCACCATTTTAAATGAGAGACCTGGGCATCTCTGCAGGGACCTGACATCAGTCTCCTGTGAATACCAAAAGACAAGTGTATATCATTTATTCTGTAACGGATTGCTCTGTGTGTGTGTGTGTGTGTGTGTGTGTGTGTGTGTGTGCGCGCGCACGCGTGTGTGTGTGTGCATGCATGCGTGCATGCATGTGTGATGCTGGAAACAATAACCTCTTTTCCTTTCTCCTACATCACTGCTCTTTTTTGGCTGCCATTATGGCCTATGGTGTTGCCCCATGAAGGACGAAGCACCTGTGGTTTCTGCAGCTTTGCAATTCTACTTCCGATTCCGGATTAGTGCTAGCCGGAATCCTGATCTGAGTTAGCCCACATTAGCTGCGGATATATGAGTCAAGCATGGGCAGTTGGAGTGTCCCCTGTCCAGCCGTATTCCTCACTGCTCTTGTCATTGCAGGATGTCTGGCGCTCCTCCGAGTTACTGTTTTGTGGCTTTGCCGCCTCGAGCCAAGGATGGTTTGGTGGTGTTTGGGAAGAACTCAGCCCGGCCTAGAGATGAAGTGCAGGAGGTTGTGTATTTCCCGGCCGTTGATCACGAAGCAGAGAGCAAAGTTGAGGTAAGCGAGAAGGTGCAGCCCCTCTGCTCCTCCAAATGTCTTCTGGCTTTGCCTCTGACTACCCACTTCTGCCCTGGAAGCCTGCTTACGCAGACAGTCATGTCAGCGACCCCTGCCTTCACTGTGGGTCTTGTTTTATGGTTAAGGAAAATGTGTAATTCCAAAGACAAATTGATAAAATAAGATAGATTCCTTGAAGTGGAGTTTGCCTCCCTACTCGGTTCTCTCCCCTTCCATAGGTAACCTCATTTGGAAGTGCTTTTGTTCTTTTGTTTTGGTTTCTTTAGCCCTTCTGCAGTGGTCTAAGGAGAAATGTCCCCCAGTGGTTCATATATGAACAGCTGGTCACCAGCTGTTTTGGGATTTATGGAACCTTTACAAGGAGCAGCTTGCTGGAGGAAGTGCGTCACTGGGGGCGGGATTTTAGTGTTTATAGCCTCGCTTCACTTCTCCTTCACTCCTTCACTTCCCGTGTGAGACTGAGGTGTGGTCTCTAGCTTCCTGCTCTAGTCATCTGCTGCCATGCATCCCCTGCCATTATGGACATCTATTCCTCTGGAACTGTCACTCAACATAAAGTCTGGAAGTTGTCATGTGTGTAATGTCACACACAGGGCATGCTTATTCACGTTCCTTTCCTATTAGAGGAACAGTAGCTTACTGTGCATAGCCTGTCTCTCTCTCCTTTTCTTTTCTCCCCCCTTTTAAGGCAGAGCCTTGCTGCATAGCCACACTGGCCTTGAACTCACAGTTGTCTTGTCTCGTGCCCTGAGTACTGGGGTTGTATGTGTACACCACTACAGTTGGTCTACTTCTCTCTACTTTGCTTTTTCTTCCCCTCAACAAAATATATATTGTGGTGTATTTATTATTTTTCTGTTGCTGCGATAAAACACCATGATCAAACCAACTATAGAAGGAAGGGAATATGATTCCAGAAGGGTAAGAGTTCATCACCATTACAGTGGGAAAGCCTGGCAGCAGGCAGCAGGCAGCTGCAGCATCTGAGAGCTCATGTGTTGAGCTGAAAGCAGGAAGCAAAGAGCACACTGGGAATTGCACATGGCTTTTAAAACCTCAAAGGGACAAAACCCACCCTCAGTAACATATTTCCCCTAGTGAGGCCATACCTTCTAAACTTACCCAAACAGTGCCACTGACTAGGGACCTAGTTCCCAAACATCTGAGTCTGTGGGGACATTCTCACTGAAACCATTTGACTCGGAGATGAGAAAATATAGTATCCACTACATACACTCAGCGTTCTCCATTGTGTAGTGTTGCATTCAATGACTATGCCAACTGACTAGTTTAATCAGCTCCACATTGCTGCTAGATACTGGGTGTTACAAGAGTTTTCCCACCAGCCTGGACCTACAGCCACATCAGCACCAAATAACACACAGAGAAGATGTATTAGATATAAAGCTGTTGGCCTGTTACTAGCATTTCTTATTGGCTAGCTCTGTCTTAAATATTAACCCATTTCTATCAATCTAAGTGTTTCCATGTGGCCTTATTTTACTGGTGAGAGGGTCTGGACCTCTTACTCCTCTTGATCCTACATTTCAAACTCTCTTCTCCTACATCTCCCAGAATCCTCCTTGTCTCCTAGTCCTGCCTATCTTGCCTTCCTATTTGCCAACAGTGCTTTATTCATTAACCAATAAGAGAAACATATTTACAGAATGACATCTCCCATCATACTGGGAGTGTTTTCTACTTCTTTGCTGCTACCAGCAGTTCTAGATGAGTAGTAGTCTTTTTATGTGCTACATTGTCTTGCCTTTTGTATGTCTATCATGCTAAAGATTGCTCATCACTTCCTATTTTGAATGCTTTAAAAGTTCATTTTGTTTATTTGGGATACTTGACTAGGAATGAGATTCTGGGTCACAAAGTAAGTAAACATATAATTTTGGTAAGTATAATCATACTTCTTCTCATAGGTGGTTTACTATTTTGCATGCCCACCAGTCACGCGTGACAATGTATGTCTCTCTGTATTCCTAGAGTGTGTTATTGGACTTTCATGATAGTTATCTTATGTTAACTTTAAATTTTGCTATTTCACCAGATTCCTTTTCAGTTGTATCAGCTTTTGCAGTGAATTCTTTTAGAATTTCCAAGTATTCTATGATAGCCTCCAAGTAAATGATTCTTCTTATGTCTGATTATTTTCTTGTCTGATTGTGTTGGCTTCTATCTTGAATGTGATGGAGACAGTGGTGTCCCCATTGGGCCTGATTAAGTGGGGATGCTGGTAGACATCCTCATCAGGATGCTGGTGCCAGAACTGAGACTTGTGTAGCTTTATTATAATAATCCTACTTTAAAAATACCTCATAGGCATTGCTAAATTCTGTTGAATATTTCTTTTAACAAGTTACGGGGAAGATTGCTATATACCTTCCTTTCTATTTCTTTGTCAAATTGAACCATGTTTGTATTCATGGGTTATGGTTCTTAGTTATGGTATATTTATTTATATGTTTAAATGGTAGATGTTAAATGACTACGGATTTGTAGAGAGAAGCTAGGCTAGTGAAGAACAAGCCCTCTCTACAGCTATAGCCTTTAGTGTGTTATGGTAGAAAAAAATAAAAGACTTTCCTCATGTCCTTCTTGGTTTTAAAGGCACAGTTACCAAAATGTCTAATGTTTTCTTCTCTGAACTCTGTTTCTACTTCACTCTTTTTCTGTTGTTGTTGTTGCTTGTTTTTTTTTTGTTGTTGTTGTTTTGTTTTGTTTTGTTTTTTTGAGACAGGGTTTTTCTGTGTAGCTTTGTACACCAGGCTGGCCTCCAATTCACGGAAATCCACCTGCCTTTGCCTCCTGAGTACTGAGATTAAAGGCATGTGCCACCACCACCCAGCTCTGCTTCATACTTCTAATGTAGCACCAAAAGGCAAGAGACCCCAATGAGGACTTGCTGTTTTGTGGAAGGCTGAGTTGGATGTGCCTTGGTGTAGCTGTCTGTGTATAGGATGGTGGGAGACTGTGTCCTATGGGGCTTTCACAGGACCACTTGGGATGCTTATGTAGGTGAAGAGAAGTGTGAGTTTCACTAGTGAGCACGTCAGATTTCAGTGTCTATTCCTCGGTGAGTGAATATCTGTGTCATTTGGGTGTGAAACTTGTCCAGGAACAGGGCAGGCTACACAGATGAAGTTTGCTGGCTTGAGTTGTTGTTGACCTCTCCTGTCTGCTTTCATAGATATTTAACTCCCTAAACTGACTGCAGAGACATATGAACTGAAATGGTTTCTATAGGATGCAGTCAACCCCCCAAAGACAGGGTGCCACTTTCCATCCCATGTGTACTTCTTATTCTTCTGGGACAGAGAGATGGTTGGGTCTGCATCATTCACTCTGACCATTAGCATGAATGAGCTTTCCTGAAAGCTGGAGATTGCTCTGACCAGTGGTTCATGCAGAAGTGATATGGAGTGAAGTCTAGCAGATCAGACTCGGGTCTTCAGGCTTGGCTACAAGTCCTTTCCCACATTGAGCCATCTTGCTGGCCCACAATCTGAATCTTAAATGACCTCCAAAGTCTCATGTGTTGGAGGCTTTGTCCACAGCTGGTGCTGATGTTGGAGGAAGTAGGACTCTGCCCAGTTCCCTCTTTTTCTCTGCTTCCTGGTCACCATGATGTGAGCATATGTACTCGATCATCAAATGCTCCCTGCCCTGATGCTCTGCTACCCCACAGGCTAGGAGACAAGCAGAGTGACCACTCACGGAATCCACAGAAACCAGGAGCCAAAGCAAACATATCCTCCTCTAAGTTGATTTCCTCGGGCATTTTATCAAGGTCACTGGCACAAGGTCTTAGTGCCAGAGTTGTCGTTGGCATTGTCTTGGCCTGTTTTTCAGCCTTGCTCTTACCCCCTTTAACTCCCTATAGTTACCTCAGTCTCCATTTTGTCCTTGTCACAAATACAGAGCGACAACTTCTTTTATATATTTGCCCCATGAACCACACTCACTATCATGAGACGTCCTTAGAAACACTCTTCACTATACAGACTTACAACAAAACAAAACAAAAAGATTTCTGAGAGCATCTCATAAAAAAAAAAAAAAATCAGGGCTGGAGAGATGGCCCAAGGGTTAAGAGCACTGTTGCTCTTGCAGAAGACTGGAGTTCAGTTCCCAGCACTCATGTAGTGCTTCCCAATTACCCATAACTTCTGTTCCAGGGCATCTGAGCCTTCCTCTGACCTCAGGCACCAGGCCCACATGAAGGCAAAACACTCATGCACATAAAATATAGGGAATGAATCTAAAACAATACCCATCTGGTTCTATTTCAAACACACAGAACCCAAGGTTTACTTATAGAACATACACAAGCACGTAAACATGGCTTCCTCACAGGTAGTTTGTCTTTCCATGCGGGGTTCCTTCCACTCTGTCTGCCCACCCTTCATCTTCCTATTAGGGTTCCCACCTACCTGTCATGTTGCTGAGATGCTAAGAACAATAAGCGAGGCTCCCCAGCACAAGATTCTCAGTTCTAAAATTATACCAAATGCTTTTGTTCCTTTTGCACAGCTGGAGGATTGAAACATCTGGGTTTGATATTCTTTAGTTTTTCCATGTGATTCCCAGTTTAAGATATCTCTTCAGATTGAAGAATGGTGTGGGTAAGACCTTTTTTCTTTTTGCTATCATGTGCCAGGACCATGCTCATCTCCATGTGATTCTAATTTTAGTGTATGTGCCTCTGAAGCAAGCACCTGTATTTATCTCTGAAAGCTCCTCTGTGCTGCCTGGGGATGCTGTGTTGCTGAGCATCCCATGATTTGTCTCAGTCTTAGGACAAGTCTGTGCAACTCTTCTGGATGTGGAGAGAAGGCAGATGAACAACTTCCTGGATAATGTCCTGTTTGTGTGTCTGTATGCAACTATGTCTATGGACATATGTTTGTTCATGTAAGGCTGGATCTTTACAAGGGTGTGTGTGTGTGTGTGTGTGTGTGTATATGTGTGTG